AAAATTTGGTAGGTGCCCTCTTCTCATTCGGGCGCACCTATAAAAAATATTAAAAATAAATTTTCAATAAAATATAATAACCAAAACACCCCTTGAAATTTTCAAAGGTATTTTTATCATTTTATTTTATTGAAAATATTTTTTTTTGTATTTTTTGCTAGTGAGAGTTCAATAGAGGATTGGACGTTCAAAATTTGGTGTCAAAATAGTTTTTAGAAGACAAATTAAAAATAAAATAGTGTATAGACGTGACATTGTGATTGGAGCAATCTTAACCCTCCTTTCAGAATGGACAGTTGGATAAGGGGAAGTATATACGTTTTATGCTATAGGGGAAGTATAGAAAGCTTGCCCTCTACTATTTGCCCTAAGATTTGTTAAGTGCATATCGTATGCTCCCTCAACAGTGTATCATACATTTACTTCTTTGGGCGAAACACTTAATTTTTTTTATTTTTTATTTTTTGTATTTTTCTAATTTGAAATTTCATGATCTATCTATTATACATAAATGATTATTTTCAAAGAAAAAAAATTGGAATTTGAGTTCTTGAACATCTAATCATTCCGTAAAAAATATGATCTGTCTGGTCCGATCTTGGGATATTTTTTTTGTGCATGTCAGGAATAGTTTTTTATTTGGAGTTGGGTCGTGAACATCCCCAAAATTTGGGATAAAAATGATATTTCTAGTGTAAGTTTTGCCCGAGGGAGTAGATGGATACTATACTCCCATGGGAGTAGAAAATCTGTTGGTATATTTGCAACTAAATAATGTTTCATGCAAACGTTATGAGTAGTGGATGTTTTTCTACCACCAATCCTCCCCTTTATGATATTTGCAGAACCTTGTGTATATGCTATACTGTCTGCATTATTTGTGTATATTGATTCCCTAGTAGCAATTTAGCTTTTATGATTTCTTGTCCCTCCTGTCTGCAAACAATGGGAGGCTTTCGAATCGATCAATGAGCATGTATAGCTCTGTCTATGCTATTCCATACACTTTCCCCTTAGTATTAAAAATTGCTTCTTGTTAACACTTCTGGGGTGTTAGGAGTCTTAAGACTTTATGCATCCTAGTAACACTGATAATCTTCACTCACTTCTAGTTACATGACTAGTTGCAGGGAATGATGAACCTATACCATGTAATGGCGACACCGCAGGAGTACTGGGCACGGTCGTTCCCCAACACTCTGATGCCTGATGACATTTGTGCTCGCCTCCGCCCCGTACCATTAGGACTGTTGCATATGGGTTCAGATGGTCGGGATCCCCGCTTCATTTATACTGAAACTTTAAGGGAGTATAATGATCCTAAAGAAACCACACTCTTTTTAGAGAAGAAGCTAAAAGTAGGAATGAGGAAACTTTTCCACTTCCCCAAGTCCGACTTCAACAATGCCTCCCCTTTCCTTCCTCGTGAGGCTGCAGACGCCATACCTTTCTCATCTGCTGAGGTGCCCCGCATCTTACAAATCTTCTCGTTGCCTCCGGCCTCCATTGAGGCTAAGGAAGTTCACCGTGGCCTAGCCTGGTGCGAGTCTTTGGCAGCTAATGAAAAATGCCCAACATCTTTAGAGGCCATGATTGACTACGCCACCTCCTCTGGTCTGTACAATAACATCACCGTGCTGCACACTAGCATTGAGAAGGCTTCTGTGCTCCAAGTATACACGGTGAAGAAAGTCGGGCACGATGCTATAAAGCCGAGCTCTGCAGTGTGCCATAACATGCCTTACCCCTATGCTCTGTATTATTGCCATTTTGTCAAAGAAGGAAGGATCCACAAGGTGGCTTTGAAGGGGGAAGATGGGAATGTGGTGGAAGCCATTGCAGTGTGCCATTCAAATATTAGGAGTTGGCCATTGTGGGTTATACCAACCGGCGGTAGCATTAAGGCAGATAATCAGAATTATGCTTGCCACTTTTTACCTGATACCCACATTGTATGGGCTTCTGCTTGAGTCTCATAAATTTCAGGATGCAATCAAAATAACTCATCTTACTTTTATTATGGTATGCACAATAACATGTAAAGCTTTTCTACGAATTATGGCTTACATAGATTTATTTCATTTGGTTTTAAGCTTTTTTTTTTTTTAATGAGGAACATTTAAAAAAACGGATCAGTGACTCGAATCGGTTACACCCATATCGGATTGGGGAATCTGTGGATCGGATGAAAGAATTGGCGAAATCGGTAATTTTTGTCCCCATATTTTTGAAAAAATTAATTGAAGAAAATATTGTTCATCCTTTTATTTTTTTGCTTGATTCAGTAAAGAATCGGTCAGACTCGGAGAAAAATTGTCGGAATCGATGGTTCCACAAAAAAATCGACGAGATTACTACTTTGAATTGACCGAATTCTGGTTTTTTACTGAATTCGAGACGATTATGGTGATTCTCGAATCAGATCCCCCGATTCCGAATTAGTTCACCGATTTTTAAATCACTGCTATGGAATATGGCTTATATGGTTTACTTCATTTGGTTCGAAGTTATGTTTTCCTTTCTAGTTTTGTTTTGTTTGGCTTGATTGGCTTTTTAATGGGACGAAGTGTAGGATTCAAGTTCTTAAGAAGAACTTGATGTAAACTTTGGGCAGGAGGTATAGAGGGATCGATAAGACATGTTGAGACTTGGGGCTTGGTTTATCGGATTATTGGCATCTTGATCTGATTGGACATTGGATGAGGACAAGAAGAATGGAACTGGACCGGTCAACCCGTCATTGGCTGGTTCCGAGTAACTAGAAAGGGTATGTGCCATAGTTTTACATAAACCACTTGTGGATCCGACCCATTAGAAAACCGCCATCCTTTCATTGGTCAACAATAATTCATATGCTCCATAGTTGTCCGTGAATCAAAGGGCGGAAGAACCTACTGACCCACGAACACATTTTGTAAAGTGTCCCACACAAAAATTCCACATGGACCATGCAAAAAAAATCCCTATAAAAGGGCATATTTAAAGTTCATAAATTCATAATCACCATGGCCTTGATCATGAATCTTTAGAAATCTGGATAAAAATCCATCTTGAAGATGTATTTTAGAGAGGAGACGCATAGGTAAATATGAGTCAACTGAGAAATCTCATACATTATATTATGCTTATATATATATATTTTTTGGGATTGTCTACAAAGAGATCATTTTTCTTTTATACACGGAGGTCACAATCACCATTGTCTCTTAAATTTAGAAATGGTTGGTTGTAAAATTGTTATTGGATAAACACAAAGTTCAAAAAGAAAAAAAGTTATCGGATTTTGTGACTCACCCCACCCATTCTATTTTGACATCTAATGAGTAGAAATTATTGTGACCTCCATGTATAAAAATTAAATGGTCTCTTTGTAAACAATCCTCCTCCTGCATATATAGGTAACCTCACTCCCCGATTACACACGTTTAATAAAAGGAAAATGTTTATCTAAAGTTGCAATCTTAAAATATAAAATTTAGGTGCATCTCAAAATTCTATCAAAGAAAGTTGTTTTGGTGTTTATAAGCCCTCTAATTGATCATCTTGACATTAAAATGTATGAATACGATAAAACAAGGTTGTTTTGATGTTTATAAGCCCTCTAATTGATCATCTTGACATTGAAATGTATGAATACGATAAAACAAAAACAAATTGAATCCCAAAAATAATGCAACTTGCAACAAATTATCTGGACTGTCCGCTATCAATATTTTCAGCTATCAATATTTTGTTTATAGATCTACTATTTTCCGCTATCAATATTTTGTTTATAGATCTACCATTTTCCGCTATCAATATTTTGTTTATAGATCTACTTTGTTTGGTCCGCTATCAATATTTTTTTTATAGATCTACTTGGTTTGAATCATTTTTTAATTATAGATCTACTTGATTTTTGAATTATAGATCTACTTGGTATTTTGTTTATAGATCTACTTGGTTTGAATCATTTTTGAATTATAAATCTATTTGGTTTTGTTTATAGATCTACTTGGTTTGAATCATTTTTGAATTATAGATCTATTTGGTTTGAATCATTTTTGAAGTTTAAAATTTTATAATTAAAAATGAAAATGGATTCTTATGCCATCCTACGTAGCGATCACAACAAATTAACGGCAACGTGCAACGCACTCACGGTGTTTCAAATTTTCGATAGCTTGTAAAGTGGAACAGTGTACTTGAATGGCGCCAACAAACACCATATGTACCAGCTCACCCTCCCACGCATGCACGTGTGCATTGCCTCATGATTAACATTTTATACTGTACTTGCTTTTTTAGAATGTGTATATGGGACTTGTTTTATTTGGTGGTTTAAAAAACGGATCGATGATTCAAATTGGGAATTGACCGAATTGATTGGGTTCAGTTTTAAAAAAATCTAAAAAAATTATTAACATGCATTATAAATGTCGTTTTTTAGGAAGCTAATAAGAAATGAGGCTATTTCATTAAAAACTTTCAATTTTTTTTACATCAATACACGAATATGGAGATGTTATTTCCCTGTATGAGAAGAACATAATTGGCCAATTTACAAATAAAACATTTATTAGAATAAATTTTTGCCTCGTCTACTAAAGTTGAATATTAGTATGATGAGCAATGATCCAATGCAATGGTTGTATCATAGTATAATGCAATGACACTTCTAAAAAACCATGTTTGTGGTATTTGTATGACCTCAAATTTTGCACACACACTCTCTTCACTTCAATAATCAATCTCCCCTCCAAAAATGAATCTAGACCATTCATTTTCTGAATTTCAAGATCTTAAACTCAAAATCATTTTTTTTCTTGTTTAACATTATTCATCTAATGATAATAAAGCTATCTAAAAAAATTTAAAATGGAAAAATCCTTCTAAGGCCTAGATCTAAGCATCTTACCAAAATGAACGGCTTATGTTAATTGGGCTAAAAAAATACTTTTTAGGTTGTGTTTTCAATATTTTTTTTTGGTGATTGTTCATTAGAATGAAAAGAGTGTATATTTTAAAATTTAGATCAAACAAATGGCCATAAGATAGGTTTTTAAGGTTATTGTGTCATATTACTATACAACGGTTGCTTGAAATCATTGCCGTATTATGAGAAAGGTGGTCACTATTAATCTTGACCATTGGATGTGAAATTGGGTGGCTACATTAATTTCATTTATCAATACCAAAGTTTAAAATTCTTTTTTCGAACTTTATAAGACATCCAAACTACCAAATGTTACATCGAATGGGTGGCTTAGTCTATTTAAGCAGGTTTTAAAGGGATTACTAGCTTAATTAGACAAGTTTAAACTAGTGGGTTGGGCTAATTAGGCAATTTAGGGCCTCCTAAGCGTGTTTAGGGTGGTCAATTGGAGGGTAGATTTAGGCTGGGAAATGGGTATTTAGCGGTTTTTGGGGATGTGTGCTACGTTCAACACGCATGATATTAATAAAGCATGCACTCAATGTCGTTTCTTGATAAAAACAACTTCGTGTAACAGAATATGCACTGTGTGTCGTATAACATGCAGTCAAGCTGGTTTGTTGGAAATAATCAGTTCGCACATTTCGTACTACGTACTGCATTAATTTACACACGTACTAACAGAGCAAGGATTCAAATGGGCTTTTTGTAAGCAAATTTGTTCAAAGGAAGCTTTCCATGTTTCCAATATAGAAGTTCTATTCTCTCCTTACCATCGTTTGTTTTTTTTAATGAAGAGCACTATTTATTGTTTGATGTTAGATCAGACGGATCAAAGTATTTTATTTTTAATTTTTTTTAATATAATTTTTTTGAATATGAAATTTGATACGTGCCATCTTGTCAGGGGCGAACCTATAAAAAATATTAACAATAAATTTTCGATAAAATATAATAACCAAAATACCTCTTAAATTTTTTAAGGGTATTTTGATCATTTTATTTTATTGAAAATGTTTTTTTTATATTTTTAGTTAGTGCGAGTTTAATAGAAGAATGAACGTCCAAAATTTGGTGTCAAAACGGTTTATATAAAACAATTAAAAATAAAAAAGTGTAAAGACGTTACATTGTGATTGGGACAATCTTAGCCCTTCATTAAAAAATAGAGGGTTGAATAAGGGGAAGGATAGAACTTCTATATTCCTGAGGGAACATAAAAAGTATTTCCATTTGTTCACGTCATAGCTTCTTGTCAAATTTGAGTAATTCATAGACCCCGTTGGAACGCTTACAAACTCCTCCATTATTTGATTACAAATTTGGTCCAACTTGGGAGGCATCCAAGGCATGTACTTTTGGGTATTAATTATGTCTCTAGATAGAGAAGCTAGACAACCTATTTATATTTTTAGAGAGATATGAATATTAATGGGAATAGAGAGAAATAGGACATTTTTTTTGTCATAAATATAACTGAGAAGTACTTTGAGGATTAACAAGAAAAACAAAAAGTATTTTGGATTAAGGGGTGAGGTAGACTTTTCAATCGGGGACACTATGAGAACAACATCCAATATGATGGGGTTTTAGTAATTTCTTTTAAAATTCTATGGATTCTAGAACCCTAAAACACTTCTTTTCTGTATTTGTTTCGGACTTCGCAAAAACTTAAACCAACTCAGCCACAAATTTGTGAGGAATAAGTCTTCTCAAGCTGATTTTTTGGTAGATCCGAATTTGATGAAATCGAGCTCTTTCGGCTCTTAGTTATTAAGTTTGGACACAATCTCAGATAAATTAGACTTTGATTTGTTTGGTCAGACTTGAAATCACGTGAAAACAAGTCCAACTGCCTGGAATTTTAGGCTGTCCTAGTTTGATTCTAAAGTATAAGAAATAAGGTAAAATTACAAATAACCTTCAAGAGTAGATTGCCTATGTAAGTTATTCCCAACCAAACTATTTTTCTTGCTTTTTACCTCAAAATATACTTTTTTAACAAATAACCTCCCCTCCCACCACAAAAGAAAATAAAAAAAATACTAAACCACCGTGTGGTCAGTGCCAAAAAGCGTATGTTGGAGTAATGGGAGAGAGAGACTTTTGGACGCAGTTGAAAAATTAACTGGCAGCCAACA